CTTGTTCATCTTCCATAACATCTTTTAGACACAGTCTATCCATAGAGGCAGATATCACTGTTGATATTGTTAATATTAACTTTTGACTCCATTTTTCAAAAGTGTCCTTCAGTATTTCCAGTGTTAGAATAATTTGCACCATTCTGTAACTGTTAGTCAAGTTTATGTGTTCTTCTCCTTTAATTGAAATCTTTAGTTCCTTGTAGTGTCCAGCTTTTAAAATCTTATTATGTTTTTTAAAAAATTCAAAACAATTTGCCTTCCCCATAGGAAAGATTCTTTATAATTAATTCCACAATCTTATTTCAAATTTATCTGGACCATTAATCTGTTTATACATTTCTAAAATCAAAGTCTTAATTCGTTTTTTGCTGTTTATTTCAATTTTTAAAAAGTTCTTAAGGCATAGCTAAAAATTTTCTTTCATTAAGGATTGAAGCCAGACTCACCTGATGTTTTCAGACTTGTTGCTCCTAAGGTTCTAATAGCTGAAAAGTAGTTAATAAGCAATTTCTGAATGTGATTAGAAAAGGAAGTACACGAACTTAGTGTCCTTTTCAAGGTGCCAAATGCAGTTTGAGCAAGATGGCTATTCTCTCGTCTCCCAGTGCTCAAAACCTGCCAGAGACCACCATCTTATGGTCTCCTTGTAAGGAGCAACTGTCTGAAACACCTGTGGGCAATCTCCTGTCTTCTGTTTGTCTGGAGAGGTTCAAAGAGCTGGTCTACTCACTGGCTGTGGTCATCAGCTTCGCTTTTCGTGGAGCCTTCTTCAGTACGCCATTTCTTCCTCCGGAAATGAATGAATGAATGAATGAATGAATGAATGAATGAATGAATGAATGAATGAATGAATGAATGAATGAATGAATGAATGAATGAATGAATGAATGAATGAATGAATGAATGAATGAATGAATGAATGAATGAATGAATGAATGAATGAATGAATGAATGAATGAATGAATGAATGAATGAATGAATGAATGAATGAATGAATGAATGAATGAATGGTAAAGTTATGAAATACAGTTATTACAAACTTATAATCCATCATCCCTCTTAGATATGCAAGTCCCTTCAGCCCCTCATTTAATCCATATCTTTTTTAATCTTCAAACCCATAAATCATCATATATTTTTTTTCTTCTTCTTTCAGTAAAAAGTCCATATGGGAATGGGTTTTGATGGTTGTAATAGGGTGATAACTGAAGGCCTAGAAACCTGCCTAGTGAATGCTAAAACCTTGAGAAGACCCTTTTGATGATAGATAGGCAATATTTTCAGAATTAGAACTTGAAAATTATTAGGCTTGTTCACATGTCACTTAGCCATAAAATACTTAAGCAGCAAACATGCCTTAGAGCCCTGTGATGCCAGCTGCCTCAGGAATGTGAGAGTGGTATAGTTTCTAAATTATCTGTCTATGGTTTGGCAGTAGTTAGGTTTGTCATCTGAACATTCCTGCTTCTAGCTAACTTAATCTAAGGTAAATCTATTGCAAACCATAATTTTACTCTGTCGCTTGTAGTACTCAGAAATAGCGTCCATCATATGTTTGGGCAACAATTGCCATACCAGTGACAGGTGATTTGGAAGCTGTACCTCTTTGGCCACAACCAGGAGAGGCTGGTAGCAGTGCATAGGACTCTCTCCCCATTTGTCTTAATATTGTAAATGGTTTGCAGTCTGTATGTTAAGAGTTCATTTTACTAATGGTGATAGATAGCCTACTCTGCCAGTGAACATGGTGTGCTCTTAAATTCTGGATAAGTGAATTTTTGCCCTCTACAATTGATTTCACAAATCTTATTGGTAATGCTTGAAGGAGTACAGGTTGGCCTTTAATAGCCCCTGTCTTTTTTCCTGTTTTACTGCTGAGCTCACATATATAATAGAGTGAATGTAACTTCATTTTCTCCCACAAGGAGACAGTGTAGCATAATTTCAGGTAGAAACATTCCATCAGACATACAATATTTTCCAGCTCAGCTGTCATACTTTAACCCTCCAAACCATTGCTTAAAGTCCAGAATTTTCCTACTGGGGCTTACATACTCCTGTTTCTCTTCCATGTTAATTCTGTTCTTTATATCCAGATTTACTTTGTTATAGTCCAGTGTGGCAAAGCACTGTTACAGGAAACTTGCATGAAAGGGCATGATAAGAAACCTATGTCACATTCCTCATCAGAACTAAACCACAGAGCTGAGTGCGGTTTAGGACTTGTTTTATCTTTTCTTTCCAGGGTCATGAAAAGTGTGCCTTGTTGATTCTGGGGGAAACCCAAGACCTTGGCCTTATCAATGCAACAAACAGTGCTCTACAGATGTAAGTATTCACACAGCCTATGGAAATGAGCAATTTTTTTTCTTCCACTTTGTTTCTTATCAAATGCCACTCAAAATGAGTCGGGGAAAGCATCTTGTTAGCTGATTCTAATGTGGGGAGAAAAATCTCTCCTGCATTTGGGAAGACATTTTGACTATTTCTAGCTTAAAGATTTTAACTTACTAGGGATTGGTTTTACAGGTCAGAGTCCAAAAACAACAGATGTACATTTAGAAACTCCTATATTTCGATGTTACTGAATTCTACTGACCTGTGCAAAAAAAAAAAAAAAAAAGATTTCTACTACCCTAATTATGGGAAGATTGAATGTGTTTTCAGTATTTCCTACCAAAATACGGCTTTGCATAAGATGTTGCCTCAGTTTGAATGACTAGCCCAGTATTATTTACTCTGATAGGCAGCAGCCATCTAGCTTTCAGCTTCCTTTCAGACAAATTTCAGCTATATTCTAAAGGAGAAGCCTTGACTAATATATTCCTCCTTTTGGCAATACCTTTGACTGTTTTTCCCTCCTTTGGAGTCAACAGTCAACTATATATTTTGGGGGCAGTTTTTAGGATTATTACTGCATGTGACAATTGTCCTAGCTCTTCAGTATAACAGCCTATCACAAATGTCTTTCTCTTAAGTGTTTAAACTTAAGCTTCTAAAAACTAATGGCATGAATATTTGTATGGACAACAGTCTAATAATCTTTCAGTTTTACATGTCTTGAAAGTGAGATGTAGGATACTTTTGATTCTGAGATTTAACATTCTGGCAAGGTTCCTTTATCTCTGAGGTAGTCAGTCATACTGAGATTTCTGTTCAATAGACTTGATCCAGGTCACAGTCCTGCTGCTTAATACAGGTTGGTGGGAGGAAATACTTCTAAATGAGATTGTAGAATTGAATTATGTCACAGAGATCTAATTGAATGAGACCTGGAGGCAAAGAGTAAATACTTTCCACCTTTGCCAACTTGGTTTCTCTGCATTAACAGGCAAAATCTGGGGAAAGGACAAAATGTTGCTCCTCTTATGATTAGATGCCAGTTGCCCTGCCTATAGTAGGAATCTTGACCTTACAACTGCAGAACACATGTGCTCCTCCAGCATATTATGTGCAAGCCACACCTCCCTCACATACAGCAGAATAGGAATAAGCAGCTTGCTTGCTATTTTATTTTATTTTATTTTTATTTTAAGATTTGTATGGCTGCCCATCTTAAACAACTCTGGGCCCACAGCTTGATGATCCTTAGGCTGACAAGGTGTGAAATGAAGCTCCATGCCTGCAAGGCAGGCTGAGGGCAGCTGTACTTCGAGCCCCAAATCAAGATGCTGGTCCTCCCTTTGTTTTTCTGAGCCATTTTTTCCCTTCACAAATCTTTCCAATGCCAGATTTTCTGATTGTTACATGGTATATGTTTTTTGATGGCACAAGAAAATGAGGTGTGGGGAAGGTCCTGTGTAGTGAACCGGCAGTGGAATTTGCAAATTCAAGTAAATATTAAATGTTCCTCTTTGCAATGAGGAGAACAATGAGGTGAGCTTGGGGTACAAAGTACTCCTCTTGAATTTGGCCAAAAGCATAACCACCTTTCTCTTCCCACTGCACACAGGCCACTCCATATTGCAGCTCGAAACGGATTGGCCTCTGTTGTCCAGGCTCTGCTGAGCAGAGGTGCCACTGTGCTTGCTGTGGATGAAGAAGGTGCGTATCATTTGCATCTGGAAGCCCTTCTATATTGGGGAAAAGGCAAGGGTTCATTCACTATGTGGAGAACGGCAAAGGTTTGATGCAGTAAAGATACCTACCTTAGCCTGTGTAAAGCAGCCTTTCCAATCTGGCACCCTCCAGATGTGTTGTGACTATCCCAGAAGTTCCAGCCTGCACAGCCAGAGGAATTATGGGAGTTCCAGATGCAAAGGTGGAAGTCTGGTATAAAGTGATTCTTTGTCTCCCAAGACAGAATACAAGAATGTAAACCATTGTGGACAGGGATTAACATAACTCAGAAATAATATTGTAGAGTTGGAAAGCCTGGCTTTTCCTCCAGCCCTTTGGCTAAAGTGGGTGGTGTGCCCCATGGTGGAATGTTTTGTGTAAGTGAGTGTGTTATTCTGCTCCTGCTGTACATTTGTTTTTTTACGGTGGTTGTTCTCATCTGTTTTTAGCATTTTTAGAGTCAATATGGAGTCACGTGGCTTTATAAAAGTCCTGAATATTATAAAATATGGATATAGAGTGGCTTTTCTCTCATATCCCACAGTATTGGAACTCAGTGACAGGCATTAATCACAGAGAGATTCCAGAGCAATTAAAATGCTTTACACAGCACTTAATTAAACTCTGGCGTTTGTTGCCATGAGATGGTGTTGTGGATGCTCCACCTAGATTGTTTGAAAAAAGGATGAGGCAAATTCATGGAGGTTATGGCTCTCAATACCTCCTAGTCTTGATGGCTATCTCTTCTGTTTCCTGAACTGTAGGCAGGACGCTTTGAATACCAGGGCAAACAGTGGAAAAGGCTTTTTTCCTCTTTGTATTTGGAAGCTTTAGGGATACAACTGGTTGGCTACAGTTGTGTGAATGAATTGTGGCCCTGATATTACAGGACCTTATATGTTCTTACACACACATTCTTGCAGGTTAAAACAGTACTCCCATTTGTGCCACCCTTCATTCACATTTGAGCAATGCTGTAGTCCTTATTCACTCGTTCCACCCTTTGCATGATGGTGATCCTGGTTGGGGATTATGGGATTTGAGCTCATTCCAGATGGCAGTTTGGGGAATGCCACTTTACTATGGTACAGATATAGGGCAGGATAGAAAAAGTGACCTTCACAGCTGAGGATGCAGAACTACCCAAGAATTGCCATTATTGATTTGACATTGCAAGAAGCATGGCCAGGGGCGAGCTTGCATCTCCTCCAAACCCAACGCATCATCTGAGATGGAATACCACTGTGGCAAAGCCAGTGCAATCATACTATGTGGGCAGGGCAGGGATGGGGGAAGCCAAAGAAGTGCTTGAAATGGAAACAGTGGCATCTTAAAACACCTCTTTCTGTTGACAATATATAGCTGATGTTTATTGCAAGGAGTCCTGATCATATAGTCCAAGTTGGTCATTTAACTTGTAGTCTGGTGGCCTGCTTTCCCCAGGAATATTTTCACTGTTGTTGTTCTTTGGAACTGAGTTGGTTTCTCTTTTCCAGGCCATACCCCAGCCTTGGCTTGTGCCCCCAACAAAGACGTTGCTGACTGCCTGGCACTTATCCTTTCCACCATGAAGCCTTTTCCACCTAAAGACGCCATCAGCCCTTTCAGCTTCAACCTCCTCAAGAACTGCGGCATTGCTGCCAAGACAGCCGCCTGCAGTGCCCTGCCCAACGGGAACAGCTGCCCCTACACCAAGGATAGGCACAATGCCATCGGCTTAGATGGCTGTTATTCGGAATAGCTTAAAAACGATGATGGGTGATCTAGTATCTCTTCTATTTATTTAGGAATTCTATCAATATAGGACACTTTAAAGGAGAACAAGACTGGGAATGGGCCTTCCGAAAGGTCGTAGGAACCAAAAAAAAGAAAAGAAAAAACTAGAGAAAACTGCTTCTGCATCCTACCTAGATTCTTGCTTTGACCACTAGCATTTCTTTTGCTATCAAAATTAACAAAAAGCAATGTGGGTTCTCAAACAAATTCATCATTTTGAAACATTCTGTTTAAAATTATCCTATGAAACTTTAAAAATCTGCTTGTATTCTTCCTACCCCTGCTGTTTGCCAAAGGGTATTGCCCAGTGCTTCTGAGTTCAATGTTTTAAGCAACCCACCTTTCTAAGTCCAGTTCCTCAAGGCTCGATGCTTTTGAGTGAAGAGCCAATTAAATCCATTTCATGCAGGGGGTTGCAGCATCAGCTGAAGGACCTGAATTAGATCCTCTTACTAACTGTGAGTCTCCCACACTTCCCATCTATCAGGCAATCTTATCATTCGTGATCACTTTCTGTGTGCCCTCAGAATAAAAATATTTCTGTGGGACTTTGCAGTCTAGGCAGGGAGCAGAAGCCTGTATTGCTGCTGCTTTTTGTTTTGCATTGAAAGGAGGGCAAGGAGGGTGATAAATAAGGGACCGTCAAGAAGGGCAGCAGCTCCTGGCAAAGTGCCACTATCACTGCTTCTTCCTGTATGGTAATTTGTTTTTGTTTGTTTGTTGTGCTTGCCCTTTTTGATTCCAGTGAAAACACTTGAACTGAGAACTACTGTACCTGGACACGCTGATACTTTAGGCAGCTCATATTCCACTGTATGCAACATGGATGCTATTGCCCAGCGAATGCGGTCCTCTTTAAGAACTTGTGTATGCGCTGCCAGAATTATCCCAACCACATCAGGCACTTTAGGGATCTTCTGTTTTGGGAGGCTAATTTTTGTTGGGAGAGGGAAGGCTGTCGGGGTTGCGAAATGTTGGATCCCCAAAAACAATTTTCTTTGAGGTTCCCCCCGCCCTCCTATCTCTGTGTTGCGCAGTGTTTCCCATTAGACAAGTCAGTGTTGCCTAAAAAAGTTATTTATAAAGAAGCAAGCATTTATCTTTTGAAAAATAGCAAAAAGAAAAAAAAAAGAAAAGAAAAAAGCTTTCTGCAAGGAGAACAATGCACTTCAGAATCTTACAATCCTACATTTGTATTTATAATTTTTCCAGCTAGAATGACATCCAGCAGGTTTCATTAGGGCATGTGTTTGTGTGTCTGTCTGCCTGTCCATGGGTGGGGCTAGTATGAGTGTGTATTTTTTATTTTAAAATTCCTATTTATTATGCATTTGAGTGTATGCACTGTTTTTCTTTTTGTACTGTAAACTGTATCGTGTAGAAACTAACAAAAAAGATTACCATATCACAAAATATGTTCAAAGCCAAAGATTGGGATGTAGCAATCAGATGAAGGCTGCTGGGGCACATCTTTATGATCTAATAATCTTTTCCATCTGTTTCCCAGTCCTGCAGTGCTGTGCTAGTCTTCGGGCTGTGTTTGGCAGAACATGTGGATTTTAAGAATGAATTATTCCAAGGCATTGTATGTTTGGACCAGTGAGATTTAAGGCTAGTAACCCTGAGAAACGACTGGTTCTTATATTCCCCCAGGTTGTCTTACAGCATCTATTTGATTGTTGAGGAGGACATATGAGTCAGCTGTACACTTGAACCCTTCTGCATCATGGTGCATTTTACACTTTGACAATGTACAGGAATTGAAAACCCAGAATTTAAATGGAAAAGTAAACTTTACCTCCCTCGCCCTGGCCTTTTATACTGGCTTTATGATCCAGAGTGGTCACCAATACAATTGCTAGAGCCTTATTTATTTGCATTGTCTGGTTTTCCAAAAAACAGAAGAATCAGGAAACAGCCAATTTAGGGAATGTGGCTAATGGCTAGATCCTTTAAAAAGGAGAGTTGAATCCAGAACTGAAAAAGGATGAAATAATAATAATAATAATAATAATAATAATAATAATACTGCAGATAGGAAACAGGTCCCTTCCGTTTGGCACTGTTTGAATTACCAAAGCCAAATTCCTACAGCCAAATGATACAGCCACCATCTTGCCCTTTGCCAAACAGTGCATTTTTAAAGAGGACATCACTTTGTTTTTCTTCTCCTTTTGTTCAGCCCTCCTCGCCCCCCTATGGGCTTTGTCTTTCCCAGAGACCATTGCATGTCATTTGGGATCAGTTCTTCTAAGTACTTGCTGAATATTTTATTGGTTTCCTGCATATGGATAGGTTGCAAACAATTGGGGGCCTTAAGGTAGCGAGTTCTAGTCTTCAAACAAACCTAACAATGTCCTTTGACTAAGCCTTCTGCAGAGACTAGGGCACTACTAGCTTAACTGTTTCTTATTTCTTTGATGCCCAAGGAATCTTAAGAAATCTTTTCATTTTGCAGCTGCCAGATAATGAGCGTATTAAAAGTTTCAATGCACTTGCCAAAAAAGCACAGCGACAGCCTGTTGCAAATTGGCCATTAATGTTTTCACTGCACTATGGTTGGGTTAGTTTTCTCTGCCCTCAGTTACTCCACATTCTCTACCTTGAAAGAAAGTGTTAACCTTTCTACACCAAATACCTCACTGTTGGAATAGAAATGAACAAAACTTGAATTAAAGATTCCTCTTCTTCCCTGTCCCCCACTTTTTAATGCAGAAAGGTCCTTTTCAGCATTCTGCAGAGGGAGAGCTGAAAACAATAAAAACAAAAAAACCACTTGTTTACATATTTTTAGGTACTAACAACTTACAACTTCTTTCAAATTGCCTAATTTTATTTTAGCCTTCTAAGTGCAATCCTTATGCCCTGCCATAGAAGGGTAAAGAGGACATAAGTTGGGAGGCCAAAGTAAGTCTGAAGCCACTCTTGGTCGTTGTTTGATTTCTTTTAAAGGGCTAAATGAATCCTCCTCTAAAGGCTAGAAGCTTGACAGAGACATTTATAAGAAAATGAGTAAGGGAGAGATCCAGTGCTCCTTGTGCTGGGAACTAGCCTGCCTTCAAGGATTCTGTCTCTTCCCACAGATGCTATTGTTTAAACTCTGTATTCCTCCCAAGCCATGTCTTTATGGCCTGGAGGAATGCGGACTCTTGCTGAGAAATCCTAGCACAGATTGTTCTTATCCCAAAAGAGAGAGAAACCCAATATTTTTTTTTTCTTTTATTCCCGTGTATTGAATTGGAGTTGGTTCTATAGATGTTGCTAGCAGTTTTCTGGAATGAATATAGCCGCAAAGGTTTGTTACAATCTCTGCAAGAGGTCTTGAGCCAGGGAGGTGAAGCTCCCCTGGACCATAGTTCTTAGACAGCAGGGATGCTCCCTTCTCAGTTTCTAGGGTTTTTTTGTTTTTTTTTTAAAGCAGGAATGGAATTTGAAGGAAGGGGGAGAAGCTGAAATGCAAATCAGCTTTCTGAAATAAGTTTCAGAATAAGGGAATTTCCTAACCCTAGTGCCACATGGGTTAGGTTGGCATCTATTTTATTTCAACTTATGTTACCTTCTTATATTAGAACTGCCATGGGTTTGTGCAGGACTTCTTTTGCTTAACTGAAGAAAAATAATCAGACAGGATCGTCTTTTTAACTGCATTCTTGCCAAAAAGGCATTCCCTTCCTTACATTTCACCCTAAAAATTGAAGATATGACAATCAATGTGATCTTTTTAAGGGCTTCAGCGTTCTTAGCTCTGTAGCATCACACATTACTATATTTCTTGTGTTCCATTTTAATCCTGTTTTTTTTTTTCCTTTTCCTTAATGATGATGATGATGAAAAAATGGGAGTGGAAACAATTCCAGCAGCGCATATCTAAATTAATATATTTTGTTGCTTTTTTAACAAGGAAGTGGAGGCAGCAGTTGGGTTGGGCATGAAGAAATGTGGCCAGCTCTATTTTAGTTGCCAGTCTTGTTCTCCTTTAATGCTGTAACATGTACATTTTGACAGCACAGCTTGACAGTTTTAAGTAATAATTCAAATGTCTGGTGGTAATAACTTGCATTATTGTGCTAAGATGAGAATTGGTTTTCCCTGGTGCATTTGTAAAAGAGGGCTGGAGGCAAACTTCCTTTTTTACTTCCTCTCTTTTCTCCTGCCCCCCCCCCTTCCCTCCATTTGACTTCCTGGTGTGCAGTATTTTACACAGGGTTGGGAAAAAGTGGGAAGTGGGGCAGAAGAGGATCTCGCTTACAGCTTCCTGTTGCCACCTATTTTAGGAATGGCATAAAATCTATTTTAACCATGCCTCTTTCTTTGCATCTTAGAAGACCCTGTTCCTAACCTTTCTGGATTTTCCCCCCTTTTTTCTTTTCACTTGTCTCAAAAGCAATCATGGAGCTTCCCTCCTTAACCTATCCAAATACTGTAAGGAAGTTTTTCTCCAACCACCTTTCTCCGAAGCACTTGCTTTACAAGTAAAAAAATAAGCACTTTTGTTTAAAAGCATGAGGGTCTAATTCCCCTTTTTATAGCAACCTATAGGAGAAAGGCCAGCAAGGGGATACGGGATCAGGAAAAGCCTATTTTCCTTTTTGTTTCCCCCCCACCCTGCCCCCCTTTTTTTGGTCTATGTTGCATGGGAGGGTGGGTGGAGAATTCTTTTAATTTACTTCAGGGCTCTAGAGTCATGGTTCTAGGGTTCAGAGAATTAGAACAAAGGGAAATTGTGTTTTAAAAAATAAACAGCACAAATACATTTCAGCTTGACAAGTGTATTTGCACTGCCATTGTTAGATAAATGGGCCTTCCACTGGGAGCCCAGCTGAGCCATATAACTATTGACAAACACTGAATGTAAATGTCCTTGTAGAGGGCAAGTACTGAGAAGCGATAAATTGATCATATATTCCTAAGTGGGCACTTCAATGAATTTAAAATAACCAATCCTGATAAAATGATGCTGTTCCTTTTTTTTTTAAATGACTTTATTTTGTTTACTTTTCCCGGAAGTTGCTGGAGCTTAAGAAAACCCATTTGTAGCATTGTTATTGTTCATTACCTTTACATTTTCTTTGTCCTCTTTTCCCGCCCTGCCCAAGGAGTTCAAAATCATGGAATATAGACATCCCCCTCTAATATATCTAAAGAGCTCTAAGGTAAGAGATGAATTATGAACTTGCTGGACTGGAATCTGTATCCCTGAAAGTGATGTGTAAATTAGCACGCAGAACCCTTGTACGTTATCCAGTCTGGTTTCTTGGTTTGGAACAGTGGATCTCCAAAGGGGCCTGTCTGCCCAACGTCTTCTGTATAGACTGAATGTGCAGAAGACTTTGAATCTCCTTTAGGGCTAATGCTCACTTTGTATTGAGAGCTAGGTCTAAATGTTTTGGCTTCCTTCTAATAGGAATGAAACAGTAGTTCCAAGGACATATCCAGAATACCTTGCAGATAGGCAAGTTGGGGTGGAAAGTTTCCCCTGATGGTAGGCATTTTAAACTCTGGGCAGCATAAGGTATTCTGGAACAGCTATGAACCTTGATGTGAGTAATCTTTTTAAAAAATTCAGTTACTGAAACAAATATCTGAGCAAGCAACCTTCCCTCCTTTCCTTGCTGAGTACTGGAAAGTATATTTATATATCCCATATTTATCTCTCCTCTCCACACTCAACATATTTTTCTCAAAACATTTCAATGTAAAATTGTTGCGCAATTCCATTCTGATTAGATATTCTCCCAATAGTGCCAAAGAGATGACAAAGTCAGGAAGATGGTGGAGAGAGATTTGGTGATCTTTCAGTTAATAGCATACTTGGCTTTTTAAAAAACAAATTATTTAAGCTGTAAACCCAATTCGCTTTGCCTTGAGCATATTTTTTATGTCCAGGAAAATAGCCGGGGGGGGGGGGAAGAACCACCATCTGTATTGGAAATGTAGATGTGAAAACCTTGAATTGTTTCATTATTTAAAACCTCCTCTTGGCGGACTTTTTTTTTTTTTTTTTACTGGGTGCTTCAGTATCAAGCATGTAGCATTTGAGAAAAATGTGACTTCAGCATCATTAACTACTACAAAACAGTCAATGAATATTAAAGAAGAGATGGGGATATATAGATTTTTTTCCCCACTGAAGCAAGGAGAATGTTAATTGAAGTTGGGATTCTGTGAACTTTGGAGCAATGATTTCATTTGAATCATGAACTTGGGGGTCAGAGAAAAAGTTCTTAATGTTACAAATAGGTAGAAAATATTTTGGGCTGGGGTGGGAAGGGGATAGATCTCTAAGGACTCTGTAAGGCATCTGTAGCAAGTTCTTAGTGTCTTTCTTTCAGTAATCTATGTGTAAATGCTGCACCTATGTATATTATGCACATAAACATTTCTTTGAATAAGATAGGACAGACCTCATCACCAGTCAGGTATAAACTACTCTTCCTCTTTTGTGTGTTGGTTTTCCTCTGTGTGTATGTATGTGTGCGTGCGTGTGCGTGTGTGTGTATATATATATATATATATACCTGTATGCGATGAGCATCTTTTCGAATTCACTTTTGGTGCAAAAACAAAAGGGATTAAAAAGAGAAGAAAGAAAAATAGCCTTACTTTTAATTCCAATCCTATCTTAGTTTGTCAACTTGAATATAATAAAGCAGAATTGCATGAAAGTCTTTGAAACTAGCTGAGCCTTGTGTGCACGGTGAGTGGCAGTAAACTTTTTTCTAAACAAAAATTAGTATGCAATTTCAGCCACACAGCTTTTAGAAAAAGTCCTGCTTTTTGTTTTTGTTTTTTTTAAGAACGGCGCAGGGGGGTTGATTATACCAGCTTGTGCCTGCTTTGCCTTCTCAAAAACTTGGGAATTAGTTCCCACTCAGTCACCAGAAGAGAGATTTCATAAAGAATCTCACATTGTAATTTTTTTTTCATGAAACCAGTGTTTTCCAGAAGATGGTAAGACCTTTGTTAACCTTTTCAGAGGTACTGTCAGTGTACCTCAGAGTGTACTGTCAGTGTAGATTAACAGCATGTTTGATTATTGAAGATAATATTATCATGGGGGTTTAGGAAGGAAAATAAAGAGATGCCTTTTGTAATACACCAGGAGATGGTTCAGATTATTCCTTTGTCTGCTTCCAAGATAACTGCCCTAGTGTTGCATCCTGTTTGGCCTGCATAAATTATTACTACATTTTAGATACAACTGCATATTGCACTTCCATCAGCAATAGGGAAAAGGCAAAAAATGACTGGAAGTGTGGAAATTATTCCAGTTGGTCTTTTGACCTGCACCATGGATATGTTAATCTATTGTGTAATTTTTGTCCCAGTCATTTGGTTGCAGCACTGTAAATGTGGTATCTCTTCTGTCAACTTGATTATGAGAATAAGGAGAAAGGTTGGTTTCAAGTCCTGCCTCTTTGCTGTGATATGATTAAGGTTTGTCAATGTATAGCTGTCCCCTCTAAATTTGACTGTTCTTGCATGCAATCCTCTATGATTGTTCATCTTTAATTTAGATAATACAAGGATCCTAGATTTTGGGGAGGGGGAATAGATGGAGTAGCTTCACAGAAACAAATGTTACAGACTTGAGAACAAGCTGCCTATGGTTGCATCAGGAAGAAGGTCTTGGTTCTTATATTCTGAGAATTTCTTTGATATCTGAAATTTGCACTAACATGTCATCTGATCAATTGAAGATATCTTAGGCAAAATTGGAAATAGGGGCATTAATAAGTAGAGCACACTTACAGAGATGAGAAGCGTGAGATAAAAGATCAAAACCAAAAGGAAAGTTGGTACCACAGGTTCTTGGAAGTGAACACAGAAAAGGCTTTCCTGTTGTGTTGGGCATCGTGTAGACAATGTTGAATGGTTCGGGCACACTTTTTAGAATCCTGCAGCGCCTAGTATACAAAAGTAAACCCTTTTTGTACTGACAGAAGCAGACAGAGGCCAGTGGAAGAATTAGCAGTTAAAATGAGGAACCAGGAAAGATCAGTGTTGAAGGAAAGATCTGGAAACATAGCTTTGTGGACTGAAACTAAATAGGGCATTATTGCAACCATAGTGTAAGCTGTCAGTTCTCAGTATTTTGAAAGGCATTTTTCACTGGTCCACTTGAAGATATTTATTGAAATGGCTGCTGATAGTTTTGTATGCATGTCCTTAACTTGAACTTTTTGGAAAAATGATAGCGAAAGAAACTTCCTGGAATGCAATTGCAGTTAACCTAGATGTTGTGTCAGTATCTCTGGCTTGCTGACATTGGAGTAGGTGACTGAGGGAAATGCATTTAAAGACAACCTGCTGGCATTTCTCCAATTTGCTTTCCTGCTTCTCCTCTACCTTGAAGTTCACCTTTTGGCACTATCCAACTGACTTCTGATTCCATTAGAATGGGGAGAACGTTGATCCAGGAAGTTAGATTTCAAAACAGAAACAGAAACGGATGTTGTATTGAAAGGATACTCTTAAAAATGTTAACCATTCCAGACGCCTTAGCTACCTAACATGAATGTAGCTTGTTTACTTATGAGAAGAAGCACCTTACAAAGTTATTCTATCTTCCTGTAGTGGAAAGGCTAATAATTTAACCTTGGCAGGATATATAGGAAGCCCGTTTTGGTTGGAAGGATTTGCACTGAAGAAAGGGAGCATATTGGTAGTTTGCTCAAATCCATCTCTTTCTCAAGTATGAAACCTAAATTGGCTTCTCCCCCCCCACCTGTCTCTTTTATTGTTTTAACTTCACTTACTCTCATCCTTCATCTCATAAAGAAAGGCAGGCAGCTGATTTAGGGTTTCTTTTTATTTCCCCCTTCTCCCTGCATTTTCTCTTGTGTACAAGGTGACAGATCTCTGGTTTTTTTCCTAAAGTGAACAACCCTTAATCATAAAGCCTTATGAAGTATCTCTGCTTAAAGTCTGTGTGACAATTGGAGGGTATTGGATCTCAGGTGGAATAGAGAGATGCAGAACATTAATCTGGCTTCTTTGGTCCTAATCTTACCTCCCTTCTGTTCCCTGCAATCTGTACATCCTACTCTAGTACCTTGAAAATTGGTTGTGGATACAGTGAACCCCTTTCTTCACATGTTTAGTTTTGAGACTTATAATCCAACTCTTCTGGGGTGAGAACACCAGCTTTGGGAAGGCTGAACTAAAAATGTGTGTTAATTCTTGCCAGGGTAGTTTTCTTTCTGCCCTGCTGTAATTTGATGCCATGGTTGTATTGTATAGATTCAGAGCTTTTAAAAATTGCACTAAATATGTATGTGGCAATTTCTGATTTTTCCTTTAAATCTTTTTTTCCCCAAACCAAAAAGTTTCTTCTGTTCCTGGGGAACGGCACAAGTGTAATATATCTGTTATTTGTTCCTTTTGCTTTTTAATGGATCTTGCTTCCTTTCACACTAAAGCAGCGCTCTGCAGAAGGATATAACACTGAATTCTTCAATTTCATTAATTTTTTATTCCTTGCGCTATTCTCTCTTTTACAAATTAATCTGTCCCTCCCCCATATTAATACATTTTATCACAATACTGCTGTTTTCTCTTTTCACTTCTGATATTTGCAAGTGACTTTAAAGTATAGGAACAAGGCTGCAGAGCAAGACCTCAGTCCCAGAGCTTTGGGCCCTCCTAGTTTCTACCAAAAGACAGACATGGGTATATTTACAAGTTTATCTCCAACAGAAATTTAGAAGTAGAGATTCTCCCCCACCCCCACTCCTTCCCCATCCACTGGCTATACTCCTGACTCCCCCACACACATGCTTTTTGGCACCAAATTAGGCCATCCGAAAGTCCAGAAAGAAACAGGTGTGTGGTTCTTTCAGAATTAATGGCTAAGTAGAACATAACTTTGTTCTGAAGAAGTGGTAGAAAAGTGGGGATTACAGGCCGTGTACCTCTGGCTGAAGGGCTTGGCCCTTCTCCCCTCAGCACTTGGGCCTTTGAGAGTGATCTAATTTGGGGCAAGGATAGGGCCTCCTCCTGCATTTCTTTGCCACAATATCCATGATCATAGTAATAAAGCACAAACAGAGTTTTCTGTAGTAGATTAATTAGCAAAAGAAACTGGCAATAAAACTAGGCAAGTGCCCAAGTAGCTGTTTAATAAAGAAATGAGAATTAAAAGCAGCCATGCAACTTTCTATCTCTGGATATAAATTCTATAAACTACTACTATCCCCACAGTAGCAGTCCTTATCACTTTTGAGGCCTCTGCTGCAGTGAGAGCACACAAAGAACATACGCTTTGGTGATTTGGTGAGAATGTGTTGAGGCAAATATGCCTAGATATATTTGGAAGTGGCTTGAACTCTTAGCTTTTCACAAGTTTTATTCTTAGCTCTTCACAAGAATCTGACAAAGGATCTCAAGTTGCATTCATATTTGAGAAGTAATTGGGTTACTAATTGATACATCTGCCTTCAGATTGCTTGTCTTCCAAACTAAGAAAAGACAGGAGAAATGTTACACTGATTCTGGTTGGCTAAGATGTGCTTAGGTATTTTTATGCTAAGAATGCATATGCATTTCTCAAAAAATAGCTTCATAACATAATTTTCCTACTACAACTTTTCCTTTCCTGGCATTCACCAGATGTTCTGGATACCAGCATTCATAATCCCCACCCAGTGTAGCCATTGGCCCACAGACTGGAAATTAGAGAGTTGCTCCAAGAAATTCAGAGGACGCCAACATGGAGAAAACTGTCATGTTGTGTAAATTCCAGATCTAAGCCTCTACTAGAATTGGTATGATGGTGAGGGATGTATAGGGCAGCTCATACTGCCCCCCCCAAAAAAGGAAGGTGGCACCACAGCTCACAGCTTCCTTAAGTTAAACACAAATGTTAGAACTTTCAAGCCCATTCGGATGGGAGAAAACAGTATACCCTGCATGTTGCTCAGAGGAATAAGTTACATCAATGAGACCTGCAGTTTGCTGTGGAAATTAGTAAAATCCTAATTCCCCCCCCCCTTTTTTTTTGGCAGTCTATTTTGAATCTAGGATTGGGAGACCATGTTGACAATCTAACTAGAGCGTGCCTGCATTTGTTTTTTGAAGTGGAATTGTGGACTTACTATTATTCTTATTACAGTTAGCATTCCTATTGCATGTTTATTTTTAATTACTTCGCCATGCTGTGTCTGCAACTTGGATGTCATGAACGTGGGTGAAGTTGGAAGCTTGTGGTTTTCCTTTGAAGATCAGGAGGAGTTGCTTTCTTTTCCTTGTGTTAGGTTCATGACAGACATGCCCCAATAATGGCCAACCTACTGTTTTACTAGTTGTGGGCTTGTCTTATAGCAATACTTGTTGGCTGTGAGCTTGCAGGCACTTAAAAAGCTACCTGTGTTTGAAACAGATTTCTTCTTTGGGAGCAGCAATAAAGGGGATGGAGGAAGGGGAGGGGGAGTAAAACTGGTTGCTGTGTTGAGAGTTTGTAGTCTGTTCTGTAGTTTGTACTCTTGGATGTTTTGTGTTCTTAGTTCTGTTTTATTTAATTGGGGGGTGCATTATAATGATAAATGGAAGGATTTTGAAGTATTGTGATACAATTCTTTATAAGCACTGATTTCAGCCCCAATGGGAGTTTTCTGCTTGAAAGCTTTGATTACCTTAATTGCTCATGTACTGTACCTTCCCACTGTTGTCCTTGTTGCTTTTACCAGTTCTTTCTTCCTTCCTTGGTTTCTTTACACTGAGATGCACAAATGGTATGTACCTTTTAAGGGACACCCTAATTGTGTTTTTTGTTGTCTAAAGGTAGATACAGCCAATATTTTGTGATGGTATTTGTAGTAAAGGGTGACTTAGATGGTATATTATGTCTGCATGAGCCGCAAACTGTGCTTTTTTCCTTACTCTGTCTTCTCTTCCCAGCCATTTTCTCTAGCTGCAAGTATGCAACAGAGTTGGGGGGAAAGTGTGAGAGCATTGCACACATTGTACGCCTTCTTTGCTGTAGCTAGGGGTGACAGTCTAATTTACATACATGTATTTTCCAGCCTGTCTCCTAAGGATTGACAAAGGCATCTTACTATTGATGCTAACTTTTACTGGATTGTGGAAATATGGTACAGTTCCTTCAGGGTGGCTTTAATTAGCAGAAGATCAAACCAGAATTGGTTTTTTATTTTTGTTTTTTGGGGTTTTTTTTGTCCTTGTATAAATAATGTAAAATCTTAAAATATGAATCCATTCAAACACCCCTTTGCCTAGCTCCTTTTTCTTGGCTCCTGAGCACTTCTCAATTTCTTGCATTTCAGTCTGGGACCAAAACCATATAATATAGTCCTTAATAGCTAGGAGAACCACAGTAAATCCCCAAAGGAAATCTGTCCTATATCCACTTAAAATGGAGAGAGAGGCATTAAAGCAGCCTTTCCCAACTGCTGCTCGCTAGATGTGTTGGATTTTAACTTGCCCACCCTTTGGCTCTGCTGGCTAGGGCGCTAGGGAAGTTGAAGTCCATCCCAGCTGGAGGCCTCAGGGTGTGGAAGGCTGCACTACAGTATTCTTTCTGCTTGACCTGTAACTGCTGCTTATAAGTGGAAGGCTTTTGTCTTCCATGTTGAATCATTTGGTCCAAAGGCATTCAGAGAAGAGTGTATATTCTGACATCATGTCAGTTTAGCATTCTGTTAGCTTTATCTGCACATTTGGGGCAAGGTTTTTAATCCTTGGTTAGCATTATCATAGTATTTTCTCTAACTGCATGGAGGCCAGTGTGCCTCATTTTGGCTTCAGTGTCAGTTCTTCAGGGAACTGAGAGGGAAGTTGCCCCAGTTTAGAAGATGTTTTAGTAGATTTTTTCTTTTCCCTTTGTGTGTTATGGCCATCTGCAGGAATGTAGGACACTTGAGGAGCATTTGGCTCTACAATAAAACTGGTTTTCCTCCTTTTGGTTAAGGTCTCTGTATCTGGGGTCAGAGCCATAGAGACTCCAACTAGAGCAGATCAAGAATTTCCATACAATCTGTGTGAAAAGTGGACTTGGAGAAGAGGAATGGATCTTAGCATTTCCCTTCAAAGTTGCCTGCCCTTTGTGCAAGCACTTTACATTTAGTGCATGGATAATCATATGCAGAGTCTTCATAAGTATTAATTGCAGGTGATCTTAAGGAAAGATCAGCTAAACTGGTAAAATCATGTCTTTTTCTTTTTTTCACACTTAAAAAAACCCCCTAACTTCTATAGTTGAACTGACAAATGAAATATTTAGTTCTGGAAAGAACTCCCGGAAATGAACTTCCATGACAGAGTTTTCTGAAACAAAATCATCCAGTGGTGGCTTTACCACTACAGATGCTCTCTGAATTAATTCTGATCTGCAAAAGTTTTGAATTTGGGATATGCTATCTCCCATTCCTTCTCCTCCTGCTCAGGGTGGAAGAGCTGTCTAGGATTATAGAGATGCCTAAATTAAAAGATGGACGGGTGTCTTGATGTGGAAGTCAGTCTACATTTCAGTAGTTTGGTTTGGGGTATGGAGGAAGAACAGATCTTCATACTACTTCTTGCAATAAAAAACTGAGCAGATCAGGGCACACAAAACCCTTTCTTGCTCTTAAGATGCTTCTCATCTTAAAACACCTGGCAGCCATGGAGTCCATGCAAGGAGGGAAAATCTATAGGGTAGGAAATTCTGTATATCCTCTCTATTTGTGTTTCCTATGATCATCTAATGAACATTAATTTGGGAGGAGGAATGGAAGGTAGTTCTTAGATCAGCACCTCATACTTACTGTATCTGTTTTGTATTTGGGCTTTTGTATTTAATAGGGTAGAATGGGATGGGGAAATAATGTTGTTTTCACCTTCAGAGCACTGAATCTACAACCTGCTGATCAAGACCAGCATGCAACCATGTTGACCTCCTTTGAGGCAGGGGCCTTAATTGGGATGGTTTAGTTAAGCAGATTTTTTTTTAATTGGATGCCTCTATGTGTGTATGTGTATATGTGTATATGTTGAAATGGGTGGGTGAAGATGGGAGTATTGTTTGAACAGTAATATTTTGGGTTTGGGGGTGAAGGATGGGCATTGGAGCAAGAATGGAAGTGCTCCCTATGAAGCATTGCCCTTCTCCATTGGCTGTACTTTTGGATCTACAGTGATTGTGGGGAAGTTTAATTTTGCACCCTTATCTTGCTAGTGTTGGAAAGCTTGGACCAATGTTTAGAAGAGATTATTAAAAATAAGCATTCAGATCAGCTCACGGGCCTGCCTTCTTACTTGCAGACACATGATCTTCCTTCAAACACTGGTTTAAAGCACAAAAAAATGCCCAAATGCTCACTCTGTGGGTGTTTCAGAAAGGGGGTTGTTTGGTTACAGGGCAGGAGTTGCCAAGGCCAGTTCACATTCCCCAAAGTCTGCTTTTAACCCCAGTGCAATGGAAAATCCTGATAACGCAATCAGAGTGTCGCTCTTTTGAGATTGATTGGCAATCTCCCTTTCTTACTGAGCTCCTTGCCCCCATTTCTTCACTGGAAGCAGTCTCTTTCAGTTTAAAAAAATAATAATTATGTTTCCATCAAGATCAAAGTTTTATTCTTAGAAAGGCAGATCTGTCAAACCAACCATTCTCTCTCCCCCTCCCCCCCCCAGCCTGGTTGTTCCATGAAATGAAAACATTATGTTAAAAGATCGATGTAAAATCATACTGAATTAACAATACAGTGAGGTATCACAAGCCATCCATTCCCCTTTCTACACATCTCAGTCTTGCACAGTGTGGAAGCCACCTTGTATAAGCCCTTTACATGAATCCTGTGAATGATTAACCTTTTTTTTTTTTTGTCTCAGATGATATATATGCATTTTCAGAATTTCTGCATTACCTTTGGGGGGGTTGGGGAAAGGGGTTAACAGGAACTTAAAACTAAATTAAAAAAAAAAAAAAACAAAGCATTCAGACTTGATCTATTTTCTACAATGTATGCTGCGACCAGGTCCTGTTATTCATATTGTGGCTTTGAATCAATTATGTTGATTAAAATGCTGTTGCTTCTATTTGCCTTACTTTTTTCTTGTCTCCAGATACTGTGTGAGTAAAAATACAAGAAATAATAGGTGAAAATTCTTGATGATATGACTGTAATTCCATAATCTGAGTCAAACATATATTTTCAAACCACAGATCATTTTACAATCTGTAAAACACTTCCCCCCTTCTACATCAAAATCTACGTGGGTACCTTTTATACCAATTGGCTTGTGGCCAGACAGGACAATTCTATTTAATGAACCTTGAGGTTCAGAAATATAAAAAATCCGTCCTATGCAGGAGCTCAGTTTTGACTGCTTGAGTTCAAGGTTTATGCATGTCTGTTCAGAGGTATACAGTACATGCCTATTCAGTGTGGTTTACTTCTAGGTAAAAATGCACTGTAGCACTACCTTTAGGTTAAGAGATACATTGAATAGGGCAAAAGAGGAAAATTGGTGGGGAGAGAGCAAAAAAGGGGGGGGAGTATTTTTGCTATTTGAGAAACTAATTCAACTCAAGTGATACCATATCTCAGAATGTAATATACTGGCAAACTTCTCACTAACTTAAGCAGCTATAGAACTAACAGATGAGAAAATCGCATGCTGTATTCTTATGCGGCTATTCCATGCCACATTAAAAACAACTGATTTTGTTTTCAAACAACTGATCAGTAAAGCTGAAATTTATAGCAGCTCTGTTTTCCACATACCCCCCCCAAAAAAAAGCAGCGCCAGAAAATAAACAGGTGCCTATTTCCACCCCACTTGTGAGTGCATTCACAGGAACAAAGGCAACCAGCACAGAAAGTAATCCTGTGCAGATATTGAGGGATTGCCTGCTCAATATCCTGGGTATAACTCCAGGGCATTTCTCTCTAGACCTTGGTGTCCTTCCACCAAACAAACTGAGGGCCTTTAAGAATGTTCTGATTGTGGCTATCAGACAAGCTTCCCCTCTCTAAAATAGGTCAGTTGGGTAGTCCACCTTTTGTAGGTCAGCTGCTTTTTCCCATACATCAGATGTCTTCCTTGCTGTGGCAACAACCTTATGCAGCTGCTTCTTCCAACACTGCTGGGCCTTCCCTGACACCTTGGAGACCCCTGTTCTTTTATTATTTGTGCCGGAGAACTGGGGGAGCAGGGAGAAGGACACCTATCTATATCTTTGGAAGAGTGAGTTTCCTGATTTAAGAGGCTGAAATTCTGCCCCATTGCCTCCAGCAACCTTGTGCAGCATATTATGAAGTGTCACTGGGAGGAATGTTTTTGAGACTTTCTTACAGGTATTGGTAATGAATGCTTCTGACAAGATATAATTTGAATTAAAGACAGCTTCCTCTGCCCTTTGAGCAAGTGCTTTCATGGCTTGTCCTGCTGGGGCTTTTTTAGATTTCATCAGAGGAGACATTAACACAAGCTTGGTGCCTCAGCTTCTTCCTATTCTTTCTGTCTCTTGCAACTGGGAAAAGGGGACACTTATCTAGCCTCAAAAGTGCTCTGTTCTGTATTTGTCCAATGCGCATACCTACAGAAGTCCTTTTTTCCCATCACAGAGAACAACTCTCAGGCTCTTCTTGGACGCTGTCTCAGGATGATGGGTGCTTGAGACGTTCCGTCATGCTTTAACTGCGCAGTTGTGTCTTTGTAACCCTCAAATGTCTAACCCAGAATAACTGCTGCTCTTGAGACCATTCTTTAACCAAAATGCAGTAGGAACCACAAGTACATGGTATCAGAACCAAGGGGCTATCTAGAATAGGTACAGTTTCTTAAATAATTCTACCTTATATTTAAACAATACATTTGAAATAGGCCCACTCTCTCCTAAAACAACTGGCCCCCTCCTCCCTTTAACACAGTATAATGGGTTTTCAACATGCTAATTTTAGTGGCAGAAGTGGCAACCTACTTCCTTTTTATAATGCCAAGCAGGCTGGGTGAGGTGGAGATTTTCTCATTTGGCACAAAGTTTTACTGCCACCATACCCATTAACACGAGTGGGATGGTTGGCAAAAGAGTGGATCACTCTTGCTTCCAGACTTTCTTTTGTCCTCTTCCCCAACTTCCTTGGATGACCCAATTACAGTAAATGATTTTACAGCCTTCCTTTCAGGTATAGGAAGAGGGTAGTCACAACTGATGGCAGAGCCAGGAATTCATTTTGTCTTGCAGCTGGGAATTCCTTTTGGAATGTCCTACTCACTCATCCATGTGGACACCGATATGCTCTTCAAAGAGAGCAATGCAGAGCATAAGGCCGCCTCCAGTGAGAAAGCCCAAGTTCTGGAGAACAAAGTGTGTGAAGGATCTTTTGTTGCTGCTGGTAGGATGCCGCTGCAGCATTTCAGGTAGCTAGAGAACAAGAACCAGCTGTTATCACCTTGGCAACACTCAGAAAAAAAATCCTACTGCAAACTGATAGAAGGGCTCTTTGTCCTTGAAGAGATGGCAACAGCAACTGTATAGTCATATCTTAATCACATTGCAACTTTTGGTACCTGAGTCCTTAAGCAATTCAGCAGCAGAAGGACCCAGGTGTTTTCCCCGTGAAAAACTTTCACATGGCCACTCGTACACCAGGAGGTTTTCACGTTGGTTTATAAGGAAAGCGCCATGTAGACTGAGGCATATTTGTCAAATTTCCCTGCAGTTTGGATTTCAGAGTCACAAGCACTAATTCCTCATGGATGTCCTGCATATCCTTTTGAACTTAGTCTCATTTCCCATAATCTTTGAAGGAAGGAACAACAAGAAGCAACGTGTCTGAAGTTACAGTTCCACCTTTCCTGTTCTACTACAAGCACCAGATGCTCTTTTCTACACAAAAGCTTTGGTAACCCACTTTTATAGTATTTGGGGGAAAGGGAGAAACATTAATATTCCAAATAAAATGGGTCTAAAATCTCAATCAGAGACAAGGTGCTGATAGATCTGAGGTCAGGATCAGAGAGGTGAACTTGACCTCAAATCTATTTCCACTCAGATCTTCCTCAGTTGAAAACTTTTCAACTTTTTCCTGTTGAAAAGTTACAACAGATGGGACTGGTTAGGAGTCAGGGCAGATGTACCAAGAATCCAAAGAATCCTCAAGTCAACACAACGTAAGTTAGGCCAGCTTCTGAGCTGGCCTAATTTTTTCTTTTCCCATTGCTTGCCAGGGCTAAAGCTTTAGATCTGAGAAACAGTTTAACATCCCTGCTGTTTGGGCATCATCTCCTCTCTCTCAGTTTAAGCAATTGTGTAGGATTGTTAGGCTAAAATACCAATTTGAGCTCTTCATAAGGAAAGGGGGAAAGAAAGCAACAAGTAACAAAGAACATTTAATATTCTGTGGGCTCCAAATTTCATTGTGGTGGTTGTACTTGCAGTAGAGAGGCCTAGATTCAAGGCTTCAGACACCCAGAGAGTTTAATGGGTGAGTTTAGGCCCTTAGGTGTCAGCCGATCTTACTTCATTGCTACTTTAAGGATAAAACTGGGGAAGACTCTCACGTACACCACCTCTCAGAGAAAAGGTCAGACAGAAATACAGGTAGTCCCCAGTTTAAGAATTAGTTCTGTTCCTAAGGTCTGTCCTTAAGTCAAATTTGTATGTAGGCCAGAACAGTATTATTGTATAATACTGTATAAGTAGTATTGTGTAATTAACTCGAACCATTGTGTATTTAACTCAAATCACTGCGTATTTAACTCAAATTTGGCTATAATAGGCTCCGTTCTCAACTATGGGTCGTCCTTAAACTGGGCATTCTTAACCCAGAGACTCCCTGTACAATAAATAAATGAGACTTGTACCACACAGAGAGAAATAAAGCACAGTCCTTACCATATCAGCTAGAGCTACATAAAGAAAAACACCAGCTGTGGTGGCAAAGATCCAGGGAGTGACCTGGGAAGTGGTCTGACTGACAATGGTCCCCAACACCGTGCCCCAGTAAGCCAGGAAAGCAGACAGCAGGTTAAACAGCAGCACCCACCGGAGTGACATGCCTGCTCGGAGTAAGACGGCACAGTCTCCTGCCAAAGAGAGAGAACGTTAAGGCTACCCCAATCCCCCTTGAAACCAATAAAGTCTAGGTATGAACCTGTCACAGCAGGACATGACCACTTGCTCTGAGCAAGCTTGGAAATGTGACATGCAAAACTAAAATAGACCCAAAGCAGCAGCATCCCTTGTTCACTCACCTAGTTCATGGGGTAGTTCATGGCAGAAGACAGCCAATGTAGTGCTTAAACCACTGGAGAGTCCATCTGAAAAGGCAGCCCCTAAGGAAGAAGAACTCCATTGTATCAAGGCATGTAAGTCTAAAAGAGCCTGTGTGATGTAGCAGTGATGGTGTTGGGCTAGGAGAGGCGAGTCCCAGGTTCTAATCCACCCTCAGCCATGGAAGTTTCCTGGCAACTGTGGGATGGTCACTCTCTCTCAGCCCGGCCTCCCTCATAGGGTTGTGGGGATGAGGAAAAGCAGGAAGAGGGAGTACTATGTATGCCACCTTAAGCTCCTGAGAAAAGGTAGGATATAAATCTAGTAATAAAAGGGCATCATACATTTTATATATTTTGCAGATGAGTAGGCTTGAGTAATCACATCAGCCTCTCTTCTTTACCCAGTGATTCTATAGCAATTCAGATTATGTGGAACAATCCCACACTTAATTGAGAATCTGCTTAACTCTCCTATAGGAGCAAAAAAAGGTTGATGCTGGCTCGCATTTCAGTCATTCCTTCCACATTTGAATGGGGCAGATATGCCCATCCCCAGCAGCTACTTCCAAAGTGGATGACACCTAGAAAGTTCATTGGAGGAGGGACAAAATACAAGGCTTCCTTCATGAAGTCAAGATATGTTGAGGAGCAATCACTATCACCATATGGAATTCAAATCCTGGATCAGCAGGAAGGTCTTCAGGCAATTGCCAACTCTGACCCGGCCTTCTCCAGCCTGTTGCTTCCACCTCACCCCCCCCAAATCGGTGGACTGCCCTACCCATCACCTTTACATAGTATGGCTGCATGATAATTGGGGGGGTGGGATTTATAGACCAACCTATCTGAAAGGCTCTGGGTGGTCAAAAGCAGTTTATTTTGTCTCAAAAATGTATTTCTTTTGTAAGTGAAGTGGGTTTGGACTAGAAGGTAGGCCTTCTTAGTGGTAGTTCCCCACATTGTGGGAACACACAGGCCCTGGAGGCGCAGCTGGCTTTTTCCTTCTCTTCTTCAGCAACTTCTTTAAAATCACCAAGTTTCAGCAGTCTTTATGAGAATTATGGGTTGTTGTTTTTGTTGTTATTATTATCATTATTATTTTATGTGTGCTGGATTGATTATTGTTTTGTTTAAAATATTCTGTGTTTGCTTTGCTCATGTACACAGCCCAGCCAGTCAGATTAGGTTGTCTATAAATTTGTAAAATTAATAAAGACGATTACATCCCCTTTTTAATGTAAGGCATCCATCTTCAAACTTTGCTACCTTATGGCTATTCAAGTAATCCTACTTTGACCTATTGAAGAATCTCTGCAGGGAAAGGGTTTTGTCTTGATTGCTAGAAAGACTGAAATGAATCCAAGAAGCTTCAACAGTTTTAGAAATACCAAGATGGGAAATGGACATAGAAATGACATAGAAGAGTATTTTCTTGAATCCAAAGTCAATTGATGTTTTCAAGAAAGTCTCCATTATTTACAATGGGATGTGACTTATTAACAAACTATTTGAGGGTGACCAGAAAGTGAGAGCAGCAGCTAAAACAGGAAAAAAGTGTACACAATTAAACAATTGGGAATTACTGAAATTGTGTGAATCCTTTCATATTACATGTATTGCAACCTGAGTAACTGGAGAAAACCAAGTAATTGGATCTGCAGTTCATAAAAAGAAAGCCTTACTGGGTTTATACAATTTTATACCAGGCACCATGAAATCTGAGGCAACTACTGAGCAATACTTTTTGGAGAAATGAAGGTGGTTTAAAAGAGAAATTGCTGCCCAGCTGAGCTTGTTTTTTCCTTCAAGAACCTGCAAAACCTATTTGATCCCAAAACACCTTGAGAGATGGGGTGGGTGCCAAAGTTTGTACATCATGGAAAAATTCAAATCATTTCTCAATGTTTTTTTTAAATTGTCTCCAACCTGATTCTGTGCAAATAGTCCACTGAGACTATTTTGCTTTTCTGACACAAGAATGTAGCCAGCTGTGCTTAGAAATCACTGACCTATTGCCAATCCATCTGTGAAATTGTGTACCCCATCCCCAAGAATAACCATCCAAGCGATGTCAGCTATCCCAGCTCTGAGGGTTCCAGCTGGGCTGTGGGAGTGACCATGGTGATGTATCTCTTCTGTTTGCTTCTCCAAGCTTGTCCCGTGGCCTTCGGAGTTGTGAATTTGGATGGAGCAGTCCTGGGCTTCATCGTACACATTTCCAGTGTCCTCTTCTGGCACTCTCAAACTCTGAAATTCAGCGCCTGGAGAGTCTAGACCATATACAAAAAGAAAAAGAGCTATTTAACTTGCCCCGTTGACATCAAGTCTTAGGATCTTGGAATGTGTGACCAGGCAAGAACCTAGGAAACTGAGAACGTGCCAAACAATACACATTCTCTAGAGTTACCCCCCAAAACGCAGGGCCATAACCTTGAAACAGCAGTTTGGCCTGGTTCTTAACCTTATTCAGTTTGAGATGCAATGGCACTGAGGTTGCAAGGAAACATGTTAGACTGTTGGCCCACCTAGTAGCCCCATTAGGACCTAGAGAGACCAAGAAAAAGGCTCTCTTTCCTACACAAGTCAGATGCATGCCATTTTGCTGGTGAAGAACAATGCACTTGATGGCAATGGACAATTTCAGAGAGCTTGGGCCAGGCCCTACAGCAGAGGCTGCCTGTCCTCCATCATTTACCTCCATTCCCTAGTCGCCCTGCCTGCAATAGCACTTCCCACTAGCGAATGAAAATGGCCCTTTACAGTTACTGGATGCATTCCAAACTAATGTCTGTTCATTCATGGAATTTGGGAAACACAGTTCCTATAACTGTCTGGCTTTGATAACATTGTGTTAGAGACCCAATTTTAATTTTTCTCCCAGTTCTAAATATATTTAACATTGTCCCTCGCAGCAAGCCTCTGAATTAACAGCTTAACTTCTAGAAACTTCCTCAAACTCAACTTTATCTAAAACTAGCAAGTTCTTCTCCATTATATCATGTCAGCTAGACGTAGAACTGAATCACAATTCTGATGGGACAACTAGTAAAGCTGCTGATGCTAGATACTAACCACTGAGACAGTTTTCCTATCTGTCCAATACCTGAGTAGAAGTAGGGAGAAAGAGAGGCCTTAGAAAACAGCTTCTACTCCAGTGCATACTTTTATATATTTAAAATCCAGTTATTCAAGTGGACTCAAGTGTGTATAATCATTCAGCCAAGGCACATAAATTCCTTTGAAACCAGGTTTCAAGGAGACACACAAAAACTTTCCTGCTAAAATAGAATGCAAAACATACCAAAATGCTAATATGAATTTGAAGTACTGAGTAATTCACAACTCACCTTGAGATGTCCTCTCTACATCATTCTCATCCACCTTAGTAGGAGATTGCTTAGGTTGCTTTCCAGCAGCGCCCTTCTGTCAAAGAAAAGCAAAACTGATGAGCATGTTGGGGATTTGAACCCCACCCTAATGATGCTAGGGAATTTGGTCTGCTTAGAGTGGTGGCTGTAGAATAACGTGGCCACATTTACAGAGATTGTGTGTTATCTCATAAGACATTAGCATATAATACATCTTTTTGCTTATTTGGCTCAGATTAGGCAAATGTGTGTGAATAACACGTGTCTTTCCCTGCCCCAGGGAGTGTTATAATCTAGTGCACCTCTTACCCTCTTTGCACGGACTTGGTTGAGTGTTCCCATGAGATTCTCAATGAGGAAGAGAAAGTAGATGCCTCCTAGCACACAGAGACCCTTCAGAATGCCATCTTCTTCTGAGGACAGCAAGCCATGGGAACTCGCCTGTGCCTGTGCCTGAATAAAAACAATTGAACTGAAGGGAGAATTCAGAACAGAAATTAGTCCTCTTAAACCACCTTAAGAAAGGACTGGAGAGATCGGAGCAAAAATCCCCAACTGCCACCACATTTGCTCTCTGTGGAAACATGATAGGAGTTCAACTCTACTGTGTGGTTCTGGCATCATTTTGAGCACATTCACCTGGGAGCAAGTCCCACTGAGCTTAATAATGGTATTAATTATGAGAAATTCTATTTATATGAAATTGACTAAAAGGGAGGCAAACTGGCAAGAACTGAGGAGCATACACTGGGTGAACCTTGGCAGGTACCTCATAAACAACAACAGGATCTAAGAAGACAAAATACTCATGTGAACTGATGTGAAGGGCAGAAACTCAGTGCCTTAGGTGGGTTTCTCTGCACAAGGTTAAGGTGGTTGGGTGGTATCTGTGGGCAACTGAACCACAAAAGGAAGAAAGAGGGGTGGTACATACATGTGGCCAGAGGTGCAGCAATGCGTCCCCACACAGTGTCCCCACAGCCAACGCCACCAGAAAAGTGAGGAGGAACTGGAAGATTTCTCGACTGAGTAGGGGCACCAAGACGATGGCCAGTGCTGAGGGCACGCTGGTCAGGGTGATAGCCAAAAATCCCCAGCCCAGGCCTGTGGAAAGCACAGAAAGTGAGAGAAGTAGAAAGCACAGCTCTAAAACTAGCAAGTTGCAGGCTTACAGGGTGAAGGTCCTATTATCTCAGGGAGCCCTCTACACGAATCCCAAGGATGGAAGGACTAGAATGCTTTCTTTCTACAGATTGTGATGAGTAGTTTCCTCACAAAACAATAATGAAGGCACAAATAATTCTATCTCTTTTTAAAATAACATCTAGAAAATAGGTTGGAGGCAGGAGATATGAGGAAAAGTCAGCCAGTTTGGTAAAAGAAAAGCTGGATCAAGAGGCAACAAATAAAGACTCAGGCAAATTGAAGCTTGACCATGATGTTATAAGACATTTTCACAGCTTATTTAATTAGGATTTTCTGAGGAACAATTTGAGTTACTTTGAAGGGAGGGCATGGAATATTGTTTTACATATTGTAAATAAGTATACAGCATTGTGGGTTTGCAAAAGAATGTAGAATTCCTTACAAACTTATGGAGAGAAAAGTAAAAGAAGGAAAGAACTGAAAGAAGAAGGGAAGCAATGCTGAAGGTCTGAGGGAGCTGTGGTCTGTGGAAGGGAGGGAGAAGGAGGAGCACAAAACTAACATTACAGTGTGTGAATATATATATATGCCCTAGGAAGGAGGCCATGGCAAACCACTTCCGAAACAATTGCCTTGAAAACTGCAAGG